TTTCATATAATAAACATCAAGTTTTGAATTTCTATAAGGTGCTGTTCTTTTTTTTTTAACTGATATTAGTTTAATATTTATGATAAGTAGCAATTCATCAAATAATTACTTATATGATGGTCATTTTTTTTTTTTCAATTTTGAGTATGTTAATTTAGTCATTGTTCGTATTTATTTTAGTGTTATTTAGGATTAAATCCCTAATTCTATAGTAATTTAATTTTCAAATCTATTTGTAGATAACATTTTAATCTAATAATTGACATGTTTAATTTAGGTACATTTTGTTTTTGCAAGTTTATTTTAATTTGTATTTCGTATAATTTGTTTAAGGTCTATTAATTTTAGTTCATGATGGCATTTAAATCTTCGGAATTGTTCGAGACAAATTTAGGAACCCATTTTACGAGAAGGCAACCCTCCTTGTTGCAAATTGTGTGTATGTGTAGATTTAATTGAAAACCAAATGTGCTTTCTACCATCTACAAGGAGATTGATTGTGATGAAGGAGAGGGTTGTTGAAAGACTCCTTATTTTTTGCTTTTAATAAAGTAAATAGTAGGTTCACATTCAAATTCCGTGCATGCAAAGCCATTTGAGGTTTTTTCTTAAAGAAACATCATTATTTCCCGTGAATCTTCCTAATTGTGTTAGGATTTTTTTTAAACTTGTGGTCGGTAGATGTTAAGGCTACATTTATAGTATTTTTTATTAAATATTATAGAATAATAAAAATTAATTTTAAATTTATTAATTATTCAATTAAAATTATTTGGCTAAATTTAATTTTTCATCTATTAACTATTACTCTCTTTCTATTTTAGTCTAGAAAGTTTAGTTTCTTTCAAAATCATTTCAAATTCATCTATCCAATAAACTGCTGTTAGTTTTTTTAACAGAATCCCATGGCATGCTTACGTGGCACCAATTATGTGACACATGCAGTTCTAAAAAATTACACTTTAATCCCAAAAACTTTACAAAATTTTCAATTAAGTTTTATATTCAAAGTATTTTACAATACAATTTACTCAACTAAATCCTTAAA